CCAGACTGCTCCCATTGTTATACAAGATCCCACCCACACAGCCTAAAACTAGTTTGAGTAATTTCGGTCTTGATTAGATGTCATTAGAAATACTTATTTAGATGCATTCGGTTTGTTTTGTTTAATGAAAATATCTAAGTATCTAACTCTAATACTTAAAATTAGCCAAGTACTGTTTGATAAAGTTTGGTTGAAAGTTTTGTTTTTTCATGTAATAAAGGCTTGTTTTTAATGTTACATAATGATGGGCGGGCAAACTCACGGCGCACCTTGTATTAAGCGGTCGTCCGAACCGATAGTCAATACAAGATAAATGTCACGCCATCCTAAGAGATCCTTTTTATAGGTATAGTCTCAACGCATTCTAAGCTAAGCTTACCGCAAAGTATCTTTCGCCCTCCTCTAACATTAACGTTAGAGAGAGAAGCAAAACGATACTGTTACGCCGGTAAGAGCAACGCCATCTATCGCCGAATAGCTGAAAGAATATCGAAGGATCTAGTAACACCTAGAACGCTCGAGGAGTCAACGCCATCTATTGTCAGATAGCGGAAACACATCAAAGGTACTCACCTTGTGAGGAATGTTCTCGACAATTCTAGCGGTGTGGTATCTCCTAGGGCTATAAAAGCGTTGCAGGAACGGCACGCAGTCAGTTAATAATCAGAACTACTCGAAGCGAAACAGCAAACGGATCACCTGAACCAAAGCGGAATAAGCGAATTAGAATTTTAAAGTGTTTGTGAAGTGTTCTAAGCGCTAATACAGTTTTTAATTTGTACTTCGGTAGAATTTTTATNCGACAATTCTAGCGGTGTGGTATCTCCTAGGGCTATAAAAGCGTTGCAGGAACGGCACGCAGTCAGTTAATAATCAGAACTACTCGAAGCGAAACAGCAAACGGATCACCTGAACCAAAGCGGAATAAGCGAATTAGAATTTTAAAGTGTTTGTGAAGTGTTCTAAGCGCTAATACAGTTTTTAATTTGTACTTCGGTAGAATTTTTATTCATCCCGAACTTCAATGCGTAACAATACGCGCGTTCAGAAAAAATAATGCAATAGTCTATGTACGTGCTCAAACCTTCATTGTGCCGGCATCGAGTATTAAGGGTGGATTGTTCTCGATTGCAGAAAATATTGTGACGTCATCAGTATCGATGTCACAATCGTCACGGGCATGATGGAACCGGGAGCAAATATTATTTCTACCGGCATAAATGTACAAGCGGGTTTAGGACCTTCAATAACTTCATTGCGTCAAGAGCTATGAGAATTAGTTTGGTTCTTGGTTCCTTCTTGTTTGTTTTTTTTTTTATTGATTTTAATGCTGAGAAATTCGAAGCTGGCTCTTCTAAAATAACGTTGTTTGCTTATTCAGATACATCTGAATATGGCGCGAAAGGGACGGCTGCAGATCGGAATTAAACTACCCACGTAAAAGCTAAAATTGGGCTGACTTTAATTTATAAAAAAAAAATTAGATACAATTCGGGTACGCCTTTATGTTTGACTTTAATTTTGTTTGAATCAATGAATGAATTTGAGCGATAACTATAATATGAGGCAGAACGACCTCACGGCCAATCTGGTGTTAAGTTACCGGAATTTATAGATATCATAATGTGAATACTGCACTTGACATATTTTATGATTATTATTGCGGATAATACATGTTCTTTTAGGTTAGGAATATTGTGTTCTTTTTTTTTATAATAAATAAATTAATTATGAAAACTTTATGAGGTTTAACTCTCAATTGGAGTGGGAGTTCGGACCGGAAAGTATAACAGAAATAAGTCCAACCATCAGTATTGACTAATGTTTTTTTTTATTGCCCTTGTAGGCAGACGAGCATACGGCCCACCCCATGGACGTCAGTAATGCTAGGGACACAGGCAAGCTGCTGCCTACCGATAAATATGTTTGGTTTGGTGTCGGTATTCGGGGAGAGAACGCAGGCAAAGTCCATAGAGATCCTTCGTATACGATAGGCATAGCTCCACGTTCACGTAATAGATCCGCGAAGGCATTTGCCAGGAATCGGCTGCTGTACAAGGTTCCGGGGAAGTTTGTTCATTAAGCGCGCCCCGGGCTGACCTGTAGTCAAATGTGAAAAGTTTGATTCTCGGTCCGCCTTCACTAGATTCGTAATGGCGTCGGAAAAATCGAGTTTCCATGGCAACGGAGTTTTTAAGTTATGCTGGATTTCTTTGCTATTCGTCAACCCGCGAGATAGTAGACGTGGTAATTCCATAATGCTGCTCTGATACTCACGTAAATTCTAATTGCATAATTTATGATCGTAATAAGCAAAGGTTCACAGGTTCACACACTCACTTTTTTTTTCTCTTACCTATGCTGATGGTCTTGAGGGGCTATTTCAGCTTCCACCTAACGTGTAGGTGAGCTCACGGGGCTCAAACTGGAGTGTTGCTAACATTGGCCCTAGCCAAAGCAGTGCTTCGCAGAACTACTCAGTGGGCTGTGTCTGTGGGTTAATTCGCTCGTCCAGCCCTTCGTCGCAGGTGACGGGTTCGACGAGAACGGTGACCGGAGCCACATTCTCGATAAAGGAATGAGGTCATGAAATAAAAAAAAAAATATTACAATTTTTATAAATTCGTGCATTTCCAGCACTCGCATTGCAGCCAAGTTGCAGTTGGGTGGCCGAGAAAGCATTTTTTTTAATGTAACTAAGATTTTGACTCTACATTCCAAGTTGAGTGGAGTCATATACATATAAGTATTTTATATCTATAGTGAAGTGAGTCTTTATCTTTAGATCTGGACTTCTTGTATTGAATTAAAGTTAATTGTCATTTGAAAACGTGAAACGTGAAAAGTAGCAATTATCAATATTCTACCTTTCGCCTTGAGTATTAGATATTATTTTCTTTAGAAGAAGGTTATCAGTTATCAGATTCCTCCATCTTGCGTCGATAATCCTCAATCCTGAGGGACGTGGCCTCATGAGGTTTACTTGGGAAAATGCACATGGTGGGGTCCCGCGCCCTTCCACGGCAGTGCTTTTGGATGAGATTTAGTTCTTCGAAGCTGCTGAAGCCTTATTTGGGTCCAGTTTAATTAACTGCCGCCAGACATTCGGCGTTGTCGGTAGAAAGGTCAAACTCCAATTCAACCTTCCTCTTTTCTCATCCGGGCTTGGGACCAGCATTGGCAGAGTATTCAGATTACCGGACCCTATTTACCTAAACCTGCATATTGTCGTGTGAGCATAATAATATGGATACATGATGTGAAAGTGCCAACAGCATACGATCTTTATTGGCTACTGACGAAAAACGTTTTTGGAACGTAGTTCCTTATTGGACGATGCGGAAGGGTACCCTAATCGGGAAAAAATGTCCGTTACGAAAAACTTTTATTAGTAACGCACACAGTGTACGACTTAACTTTGTAATAACGTAGAAATTAGTAATGCACACAGTGTACGTCTTAACTTTGTAATAACGTACAAAAAATAACATATTTTTATATCATTCATTGCCCACGATCTCAGAGCGTTCGTTTGCGCAATACACTAACTTTTATGCAAACAACCGTGAATGAAGTGTACCACAATAAGTTCGCACGTTACCGAATGACCATGGGTTGTTGCGAAACCTTTTTTATTTTTTTATACCTCGAATAGAACTTAAAATTAATATTTTTTTAATAAGGAACTTCGTTCCTATCCGGTGTCCCACGACACCACGCTTCATTTTTTTAAAACGAAAATTTGCCCGAGATGAAAATTGAAAACACGATCAATGAATCAGCAGCTAGTACGGTAATTACTGTGCCTATAGACCGTCACATTGTATGAAATACACTTTGTTGCTACTATTCGCGAGCCATCTGTCGTACGCTGATCGTAAAATACCAGAAACCCTTTCCTGACTATCTTGACGACTTTTTTTATTGCGATTAAATGATCTAACGGCCAGACCAGGTGTGTGTAAGTGTAAGTGTAAGGTCATAGGAGCCCATAGACAATCAACAACATAAATGCCGCCTCTCACAAAGACCCACCCACTTAAAACTAAGATTAAGAGAACTCTTGTCTTTTTTTTTATTGCTTAGATGGGTCGACGAGCTCACACACAGCCCACTTGGTGTTAAGTGGTTACTGGAGCCCATAGCCATTTACAACGTAAATGCGACACCCACCTTGAGATGTAAGTTCTAAGGTCTCAGTATAGTTACAACGGCTGCCCCGCCCTTCAAGCCGAAACGCATTACTGCTTCACGGCAGAAATAGGCGGGGTGGTGGTACCTACCCGTGCGCACTTACAAGAGGTCATACCACCAGTAATTACGCAAATTATAATTTTGCGGGTTAGATTTTTATTACACGTTGTTATTTCTTCACCGTGGAAGTTAATCGTGAACATTTGTCAAGTACGTATTTCATTAGAAAAATTGGTACCCGCCTACGGGATTCGAACACCGGTGCATCGCTAGATACGAATGCACCGAACATCTTATTCTTTAGGCCACGACGACTTGTCTCGAGGTGGGTGGCATTTACGTTGTAGATGTCTATGGGCTTCGGTAGTCATTTAGCACTAGGTAGGTCCACTCATCTAAAGAAAAAAAAAAAAGCCTAAGGAAATGAGTTCAAATCTCACATCTACAGAACAACGACTCATCTTTCATTGCTGCTTCATGACAGGAATAGGCAGGGTGGTCGTCCCGACCCGTGAGGGCTCATAAGACGCCCTATCAGTAAAACTATTCTGCCAAACCAAGCGAAGCAGCAAGTTCAAGTTACTCAGTTTGTCACAGAGAAGTTATTAATAAATATATCGGGTATTATTTGGTACTCGTTGATGTAATAATCTCTTTATCTATGAGTATGTGTACCTTGAAAGCTGAGGATGTAGGTTTTTTGGCAAGACTTGACGGATCTAAAACACGTACATATACTAGCTACTCTGAACTGCCTTATACAGTAACTCCCTCAGTGTTCAGTTGGCCTCCGCGGAGGGAGGACGCACGCTTGTAGAATTACGTATCGCAAAACTATTAAATAAAATGAAATTTAAACTGTGTTTTAAAATGTTTTAATTTAATTAACTGAAGACGTGAATGTGTATGTTCGATCGGTGTTCGGGAAAATGTGAGTTCTTTTTAATTAGTGAAGTGTTTTCGGACTTCGAAGTTGTCTATCGTGGAAAATTCTGTGAGTAAAGTTTTTCGTGCTTAAGTTTGTGAAAATTTAAGAAAATTTATTTATATATTAACCGCAGATTCTTTGTGAGGGAAACATCTTTTTATTGATGCACTAGTATGTTATATGTATGTAGTATTTGTCTATTATGTTTGGGTGTTATATCATATACAACGTATTTTTAATATAATTAAATATTATTTTTAATTTATAATATAATAAAAAATTCTCTCGAATTTATAATTCAGGGTTATTTGGATGACAATTTTCGTACAATAGGAAACAATAAAATTAACAGCAATCGTATTATTCTCAGATTTTTTTCGTCCTTTGTCCGTTTTTCATTTACTAAAAAAAGGCTACTAGCAGCGTGTTCAGCCTGTGTAAAAATAAGAAGGAAAACATTTCTAGGAGGCGATGTGTTTTTCGAGATATACCGCATTCTGTCTATTTATTTCATGGAAATTGAGACAGTGAAAAGACCTTCGTGACTTCATTTGGAAATAGTTAATTGATAGATTTTTTCATTTAAGAAGCTAGTATTTGAACGTGTGAACACAAATAAAAATTAGCCCAGAAAACACCTAAAAAATTTGTAATTCCGGTTTAGTGGTTTCAATTGTCCAAACAAACATAAAGACAGAAAAAAACGCGTTTAGTAGTGTAATAACTTATTTGGATATCACAGACAGTCAACTATTTTATATATATTATATACGTAATTAGATTCAAGAACTTTGTTGTTATTATTATTAGCAAATCATATAACTACGTTACGCTAAAATAAAATAAAAACACACTGTGACCCAATAGTCAAAACTGATTGTCAAATGGTTTTCAGCTTCATACTTTCTGTAAGCCATGTCCTATTCAATTAACTTTAGTGGATGCGACACTTATCATTTATGGTGATATAAAACAGAAATGCTTTTACAATATTTTGTGTAAATTACCTAATAATTGACGCTTTATTTTTCTCGATCATTGGTTAAGGCTCATAATAATAAGCACAATAGATTAAGTATCGTTCTTTATAATGGACTAGGTAATTTTCTCATATTGTATCTATCTTCTTCAAATTTAATCAGTAAAAACAAGCAATCTATAAATAATCTTCTACTTAACAACCACAATATATGATTATGTACTATAGTCGCGGTAATATCAATATATATGAGACAATAATCAGTACAAATGTCTTCCATGTTTCTAATTTATCTTTCTAGCATACTTTACCAAAGATATTAGGTTGGTTGCATCATTAGCGAACTCGGTCAACGAGGCGATCGCAACGAAAATTGGAGGCCCAGTATTTCTTCTTTTTAGACATTTGATACCTAATTGATTTTAGACAAGTAAGATTTCCTTGGGTTCGTAGAGGAACCCAATGATCTTTCACTGTTATATCTGTTGGAAACGCATATGTAATAATACATATCTCCTTAACACCATTCTGGCTATTTTTGCTGCTAAACAGTCAGACATTCCAGTTTGAAGGGAGGGGTAGCTTTTATAGAATAAAATGGAGACTTCGATTTCACGTCACTTTGTAGGTGACTGCATCTTGTGATAACTAGGGGCTCGGTTAAAAGTTTAACATCACGTGATCTACGAGCTAGTATAATCAGGAAAAAAAGATACTTAGACTCTAAATACCAAAGAAAAATACCAAGTGCATATGTCTTACCGTTTTTTGTTTGTGTTTTTTATAGCATTTAAAATAAAAGTACTAAATTTACGGCTTAATCCCGCGTCGATCATTTCTACCGTATTAGCACATGGAGTCCTCTTATCGTAAAGATGACATCCGAAGTGAAACTAATTTCCAGACCTGAATGTAGTGTTGTTTGTTTCTGTGTGAAGAAAGAAATTAATGTAAATGTAAATGAATAACATTTCAGTCGTCCGCGACCATTAGCACTGTAGAGTATTCGAATCGTCAAAAAGAATGTAACGACAAGAAAGAACGCGATATTAAACAAGATTGATGAAGATCGTGATCTTATTCTGCCCCACTTCGCTTTGTCTTAGACATCATCGTCAGTAGCATTGCATTTCCTCATGTCCTTCAGCACTACATCTTTGCATCTTTTTTTTTATTGCTTAGATGGGTGGACGAGCTTACAGCCCACCTGGTGTTAAGTGGTTACTGGAGCCCATGGACATCTACAACGTAAATGCGCCACCCACCATGAGATATAAGTTCTAAGATCTCAGTATAGTTACAACGGCTGCCCTACCCTTCAAACCGAAACGCATTACTGCTTCACGGCAGAAATAGGCTAGGCGGTGGTACCTACCCGCGCGGACTTACAAGAGGTCCTACCACCAGAATTATAATTTTGCGGGTTTCACTTTTATTACACGATGTTATTCCTTCACCGTGGAAGTCAATCGTGAACATTTGTTGAGTATGTAATTCATTAGAAAAATTGGTACCCGCCTGGGATTCGAACACAGGTGCATCGCTCAACACGAATGCACCGGACGTCTTATCTCTTAGGCCACGACAAATTCAATCTGGACTTGGGTTTTCCTCTAGGTCTCCGGGAGGGTCGCTGCAGCAGCAAATTTCCGGTGTAGCCTGGTAGCCTTTCTTTAAGTGACCATACCATCTCAGCCTACTCCCAAAAACATATAGGATGATGATTGATCGTGATGAAACGTGTAATGGGTTCAGAGTTCAATATATTTGAAAGTCCACAAGTTTGGAGGTATTTAGCATAATTACTGGAAGTGACTTTTTGGATAAAACTTTTTTAACGTCAATTTTCCCGGTCACTCTTTTCAGTGGTTCTAATATTAAAAATACTGCTTTATTTGAATCGAATTTTGCTGATAACTTCATGGCTTTTTTTTTTTAGGGCCCCTTAGTTAGTAGCAAAAAACTGGCACTTACTCTAAGGATTTTATGGTTCAATTATTAATAAAACAGCCATTAGCCGTTTTCGGTTCAAGTGACTATAAATAAATAATGGTCCCATGATAGTTTCGGGGTTTATTTGTACTGTGAAACTTAGATGAGTAATTTTCAGAAATTTAAGCGCCAGTCCCATTGTGTTCTTGGGTTTATCGATCGTTGCTACAATGTAAGGTATTTTACGGGTGGCAGGGCTCACTGTGATGCAGGGATAGGTACCCTTTTGTTATTCCTGTTTTTTATTTATTTCGTTTAAAAAAGCATTAGTATTGTGCCTGTTTCAGCCACCAGAAAACATACGTTTGGTTTTGAAGGTTTTAGCTTTACAATATAAAGGAGTTTTTCGACAGCACGTCTCTTGGCAACATGCTCTGCTTTTACGTTGCGATTTCTATCTGCTCTGGTATATTTCAATATGAGGGGGAAGCTGGTACTTTTCGGTTCATTAAAGATGAAGGTGGGAAATGGATGGAAAGAGTTCACGGTATATTGGTTACGTAGAGACCAAAATCTACACTCAAAATTATGCTACTGCCACCACCCCTTTTGAGAACTGAGGCTTAAGATCTCTACAATGTTTTATCTATAGTAACGGTCCCCTTCAAACCCAAGATGATCGTTTGTTAACAAAATTCATTTGAGTCAGCGGTGGTACGAACTACTGGTGGTACGAACTACTGGTGGTACCACACTGGTGGTAGGACCTCTTGTGAGTCCGCAAGGGTAGGTACCACCAGCCTATTTCGTTATCTCAAGTATAGTTACAACGGCTACCCCACCCTTTAAACCGAAACGTATCAGTGCTCTGAGCCACAAATTGCAAGAATGATGGTACCTAACCATGCGGCTTACAATATGCCTTACCACCAGTAAGGTTTCAGTGTTTTTGTTGATTTGCATCCTATTAGAGGAATCAGAAGCTTAAAAGCAACCTATGGCATAACTAATGTCATCAAATGCATAAGTCATGCATAAGTAATTTGAATGTAAATATTATAAGATGCTACCAGTCGTGAGCATTCGTGAGCATTACGTCTATAGGACGTATTGATCTACTGAAAACATAGTACTTGTTCAGACTCGAAGCAAAAACTAAGTAATAGAGGCGTGCGTGATCCCGCCACAGCTCGACAAAGATAAACGTTTTTTTCAAAGACACTAAACTTAACCGACCGGCACGACGAATGCATGCTTTTTTATATAAAACTCCGTACCCGTTATTTCAGAAAGGATTATATTCGTGAAACAGATCGCGTGACAACACGAAAATAATGTTATACGGCTAATTAGCATGCTAACTTAAATGTCAGAAAGAAAGGCGGCCATTTTGAAAGAAAAAAAAAAACGCACTGCGATTATCGAATGAGGTTTTAATGTGTCTTCGAGTAACGAGCCCGCAGTAGCCGGCTGTTATGAATTTTCATTATTGACAACATTGACAATAATTTATATTACAATGCCCCTTTTAAGCCAAGGATGTTTAGTTAGTTTAATAGTTTTGGTAGTTGTTTAATGGCTTAATGCAGTGGTGTCGGCATCTAGGGCGCACTCGGGGTATGTGGGCTTTGATGGGAGCAGATCGTGGGCCACAGGATATTTTAAGGCCCTACCCAAACGACTCCCCTTGCACTCTCTCACCCGGTGACAGTAGGGGGGTTCCGGCGGTCAAAAACCAGACAACCAGATTGGCGGCGTCATTCCGAGGATCATGTGGCCCGATATTGGATCTGACTGGAGATCTGTTTTCAATCACGTTTCATGAACATTCATGTTTAAAAAACTTTTAACTCTTAAACAAGTTTTTTTTAAGTTACTAGCAAGCCCGGCCCGCTTTGCTGGCTGATTTTTGATTGGACTTCGATCAGATTGGTATGAAACAAAAAAATGCAGGATCAATCGCTAGACCAATTTGAAGATTGAAAAACTTCATCGAAATCAAACCAGCCATTTTGGAGTCCCTAGAAAACATTCATGTTCATTTATGTACATTAATGGTTTCATTTTTTTATTGCTTAAAAATGGATGGACGAGTTTACAGCCCACCTGCTTCACGGCACAAATAGGCAGCGTGGTGGTACCTACCCGTGCGGAC